CAGCAGTAATGCACAGCGAGAGTTTATAAATGGAAAAAAGATTATAAATTATAAGTAGCCATCTATCGCTAAAAACTTGTATAAATTCGGTTCAAACATGTCAAAAAAATACATTTTTCACTCATTTAAATTTTATTAAATTTTGAGAAAAAAAATTTGGGGAAAAAATTTTGGGTAAAAAAATTTTGGGGACCCCCCCCCCCTCGTGCGGGTTCCCCACCGACACCCCGAAAACATTCAGGCGACGCGTCCTCTGCATCACCGATATGCGGAAAAAAAAAATTTTGGAAAAAAAACTAGCAAACCTGGCAAGCACTCCGTTTCGCCACCAGACTTTTTGAAAAAAAAAAATTTTTTTGCAAGAAAAATTTGTGAAAAAAAATTTTTGGAGAAAATAAAATTGGGAAAAAAATTCGAAACAATCGTTGTCAATAAAAAACTTGGAAGAGAATCATTGACAAAAAAAAATTGCAAGAAATCGCCGACAAAAAGCTTTTTTGAAAAGACTCGTATCTCAAATCGCTCGTAACTCGAATCACATGTATGTCGAGGCGCTTGTATTTCTAAGTGCTTGTAACTCGAATTACTGGAACACAATGCTCGTATGTTAAACAAGGTTAAACACAAATCACTCATATCTCGAATCACTCGTATCTCAAAACGTATATCGTATAAGGACGCTCGGATATCGAATCACTCATATGCCGAGGCATTTGTATTTCAAAACGCTCGTATTTCAAATTACTCGTATCTCTAATCGCTTGTAACTCGTGACGCTGGTTTTGCTACTCACTCGTATGTCGAGACGATCGTATCTCAAAGTGTCATTCGTATTCATATCATTCGTATCTCGATTCACTCGTCTCTCGGGGCGCTTGTATCCCCTATTGAGGATGCCTAATTTCCCAAATAATCAAAGACCATGGTTTTTCACTCAGTTCAAACATGCCAAAAAAAATTCTCCAATTATTTTTTCAAGTTTTTCTTTCCAAATACATTTTTTTTCCAAATTTTTTTTCAAAAATTTTTTTTCTAATATTTTCTTAAAATTTTTTCCAACAAATCAAAGACCATAGTTTTTCACTCAATTCAAACATGTCAAATAAAATTGAAAATTAAAAATTTTCAAAAATTTTTTTCACAATTTTCAAAAATGTTTTTTTTTTATTTTTTGCAACCGACAGCCAGTCCCCCCCGCACCGAAGGAAAACAGATACACCATGCTATCTCCCAAACCTGCAACTCCAAAAAAAACTCAATCAGTTTCTTAGTCAATATATTATTTAACTTGACCTTGTAATAATCGTTTTATTCGCTGCCTTCAGTACATATTAAATTGTACAGTTTAATTTTATGTAGGAAATCACATAAAATATGTAAATTTTATTGCTACTTATTGATAATAAGAATTGATACAAACAAATAAAATCAATAATTAAATTTGATTATTAAAATAAAACTTTTGATAAGTTTCAGTATTGGTTTATTTAGACAATATCATTTTTTCATATTATTCAATTAATCTTCTCATTATTTTTTATTTAATACTTTGTCACATTCCGTTTGAATATCATCATTTTATATTTAAAGCTAAATGAACATAACATTTGGTTTTTTGTTTTAATATCCAAGTTATACTGCATTATCTATATAATTATCAATATATTTAGAAACCAGGCATTAAAATAAACTCTCAATCAGATATAAAACTGAATAAACTCATATTCACGTTGTGATTACCAAAAATATAATTTTGATTTGATTGGTACAATGTATTGTAACAATTTACAGGCATAAATTATTATTAAATATATAGATTTTAATCTACTCAATTCTTTGAGTAAACTAAGATCAACTATAAATAATTTTAAAGATTATTCTAACAGATTTACGTATTTGCGATAGTATTCAGTAGCTTTCTGATTTAAACTTAATGATACCAATTATGGGCATTCAGCAGCATTACAGAATATGTATATTTAATACAAATCACACTTCTAAACTGAGTTCAACAAGAAATACAAGTGATTACAATTTCATAATAAAGGATAATATATAAATATTGATTGTAAAGAAAACTAAAAGCATTTGAAAAGAATATATATATATATATATATATATATATATATATATATGCTCTTTCGGATACTAGGGATATATATATATATATATATATATATATATGCTTTTTTTGGATACTAGAGATCAAAATAAGATACTTTGCTGAAGAAACAATACCTCTAAAATAAATTCTGATGTCACGTGCATTGAACCAAAGATAGGGATTGAATTTTGAAAAATTCCGTTTTAACCCATTTAGAGTGCTCCAATCGCGCCCCAATGTATAATAAACCCCAACTAACTTTGGAAGGCCAATCCACCCATGCCTATGGGTCACCCCCTGAAACCTCCCTTTAGAGGTCACCCACCCACAGGAGATATGATTTCTTCGACAAAGTATCTTATTTTGATCCCTAGTATACGAAAATCATATGGTGCCTATACGACTTTTATTACCCATATAAATTGATATATATATATATATATATATATATATATATATACACAACACATGTATATACACAATATGCACATACATATATATCTGATATATACTTGACTTTGAACAATAAATTAATTGTATAAGTTGATTATTAGATGAAATTAGTTTTGTTATATATGCTTGTTAATAACCTTCTAAATTCACTATCTACAGCCCATTTCTACAGTAATATAATTGATTTTCATAAAATTTATATTGAATACAGTTTATGTTAAAATTATAATACTATTTTCTAATCAGACTTCAGTAATTGATCTACATTTCAAGTATGTGATGAATATCTTGTTAATTGAATGCTTGTTCATTTCTATTTATAATTGTTCAATTTAACTATTTATTAACTTGTAAGTATTAGTTTGTATTATTTACCAGTAATAAAAACAATTTACTAGATCTGAAAACTTTGAATCAATAAATATATATTTATTCTACATCTAATTACTGCTTAGAATATTTCAATATTGAAAATAACTCTTCTCAATTTTTTTGAAATGTAATTGAAATATACATGATTATTATATGCACTCATTTTGAAAATCTGTGGTCAAGTATACTATAGACTTTAAGATACTAAACAAATAATAATAATAATAATAATACTCACTCTTTATGGATTTAAATTCAATTATGTACTTTCAAATAATTCGAAAACGTATGATCTATATACAAAATCTGTTTATGAATTTTTTAATATTGTATTTCATTTATGTGTTTTAGATGAGATTCGAATATACAATCGTGATAGATATAACAAGTAATTATTTATTTTTCAAAAATAATTTTATATAATATGTTTGTGAATTATATAGGCCAACATAATCACTCATAACTTTTATTGCCATATTTTAAGATTCATCTTGTAACTAATCCATGCAGAACAAAATTGCATTTCAGATTTAATGTTCATAACAAAGTAAAATATTACAGAAAAATACATTTATATATATATATATATATATATATATATATATATATGTGTGTGTGTGTGTGTGTGTGTGTGTGTGTGTGTGTTGAGAGTGTTTCAATTTGATGTTGAAATGTATAGTTAATTTCATGGAGGCCTTGACATCAAGTGAAAAATAATTAAAGTGAAGATTATCAAAACAAACAACTTTATTGTCATCATCAGTGGTTTTTAAATTCTTAGACTAACACTAATACATATTAAAGACACTCAACATATAAGTAGTTAATAATTTGAATAAAGCATAAAGTGTCAGTGGTCACTTTTTTATAAGATATTCTTTAGAAATGAAATGAAATAAGGATGATACGAATATAATTCATTTCATTTCTGAAAATATATCTTAGAAAAAAGTGGCCACTGGCACTTAGTAGTTTATTCCAATTATTAATAACATGAAGTGTCTTTAATATGTATTAGTGTTAGTCTAGGAATTTCAAAAACACTGATGATGACGTAAAATTTTACGTCGAAACATATGGAACAATAAACATGTTTTAAAAATCATTAGTTTATTTTTTACTTGATGTTATGCTTTCCAAGAAATTAATAAGATACTTACTGTGGTTCTAAAAATATTATTCACACTTATAGTTCCAAAGTTTAAATAAACAAAATTAACTGCAATAATCGAATAATGGTCATAATTCCACTAAAGCTCTAATTTGCATTTGAAAGCTAATAATTTCCAAACAACGCGAGATATATTTTTTTCAGGACAGTTAATCTGTCAATACATAATTAAAAATAGATATAAAGAAATACAAATCTACAAAAATATAATTATGAACATGTTAAATAGCATAAATCTAAACAGTTTGATAATTTTTTTATTTAACATATATAAAGGTAGACGACTAAAAAACTAAAAATGAATAATATGCAATAACTCGCCATACAAATAATTGAAAGAGTAACACAGAAAAAACAATTGTTCAGATTTATGCTATTTTGCATGTTTATAATTATATTTTTGTAAATTTGTAATTTTTCATATCTTTTTTTAAATTATAACCCTGGAATCTTTTAATGTAGCACTGAAGATGAATCAAACCAGGCCCCGAAACGTTTGATACAACAATAAAGACAATTGTTTAATTATTAGATTAATGACCAAGAATAACTTTATCATATATATTTCACCATCTTAAAAAACCTCTCGCTTTATATTTATATATTTATATATATATATATATATATATATATATATATATATATATATATATATAAAGCCTTTGCAGATCTTGCATGTAATATTAGGTAATAATTTAACACATTGGCATTCAATTAAAATTAGAGTATTAAAATCGAACAAAAATAAATAGTCGTTTATATATATATATATATATATATATATATATATATATATATATATATATTAAACATAAAAACCTATTTTACAATATTAAATAAAATCATAAAAATATGTTACACAAAATTTTATAGTAAGATATATATCTTCTATCTCTTATCTATGAAATAAAATTATATATTTAAACGACTAGCATTTTTTCTCTACATATGGGTTATGTAGTATTTCACAATAAAGTTATATAACTTTTTTTCGCCTTATCCTAAATGCACTGAATAACTTCTTTCTTGCGACTAGAAAAAACACATGTATGAGCAAAAATTGTTATATGGTAAATACACATCGAGATATATAAAGGTAAAAGTATTTATATAATACCATATAAATTAAATTCATCATAGGTTTAAGATATAGTAATGTCATAAATATAAAAGGATTCTTTCTATTAACCAATGCTAGACTTTTTTTATTTTTATTTAATATATTAATATTGTAGAAATCACAATATAAAATCAAAAAATGAAAATTAAAAAAAAATGAAAATTAAAAAAAAATGTTCTTAAAAAATTAATAATTCAAAAAAAAACTTTTTGTTAAACTATGCACGGCAAAGCAAAAATATAGTCAGATTATGAAAATCATCAAATCGTACTTTTGAACAGTTATATAATAAATATCCACTTACAAGTACAAACTTGTACTTGAAATGATAGCTCTATGAAATGATAATCCATTCAATAATTTAATATTTCTAAAGATTTTGAAATATTTTATCATCATTTTTGTTAAGAATTTGTTCTAAACATTCTTATAATTATATAGTATTTACGTTAAGTAGGCACTGGATGAACGTGCATATTAAATATTTTTCACAACAGTTTAAGTGATAAATTAGTCTTTCAATACGAAAGAATATGGAGTATTGCACATATTTATCGTGGTTATGAATCCATTTACCCTTCCAAAGAAGTGGACAAGGTTTAATGCTCGCATCCGCATTAGACGGATTATAGAAGTTTCCTAAATTCTGTCTATGTAATATTGTATATTTGTGACTGCCCCTTCTACGAAGATTTTAACATGTTAAGTATAGCGCGCAAAAGTTACTCAAATATTAAAAAGATAGTACATTTTAAGTTGCGATACTAGGAACATGTCTGAACCTAGCGCCCAAGTTTCTTAAATTAATAATATAATAATTTAATAATTAATAAATAAATTTAATTAATACATGTCTATCGGTGTTTAATATTCAACCGTTATTTACAGATCACATAAGTGTTTTTAAAGTGTAGTAAATGTAATGGGAAACAGAGGGGACATACGTAAGGTCAACAACGCCTTAGCAATTTATATAGACTATAAAAAGCATTGTTATGCTCACATTCATATATAGAAAATACAATAAAATACATTAAACTAGGCATCGTGCCTTAAGGCAAATTACTAGAACTTCCCGTACCGTAACAAAATGTTCGAGGAATATTGAATGTTTTCAAATACATTATTTCATTTCAATATACATTACGTATTTATAATATTGTAACATTGTCTAATATTTATAAAAATTATATAAACTGAATTGCAAAGTTGGAATTATTTGTTTAAAGTATATTAAAACTTTAGTCAGAACTAAAAATAAAATCTGAATGATTTTCGATTACAAAAAAAAATTTTTTTTGAAAAACAAAATTGAAAAAAAAAATTTTGAAACAACATTTTTTTTTCAATATCAATTATTTTGTTAAAGCAAGCAGAAAGTTCTTTGAATCATTTAAATCGAACGCTCAGTTCTCTCTAAAACTGCATTTCTTGCACATTCAGCTCTGTATCTTCGAAATGGTTGGGCCTGCCTTTGCCAAAAACTAATAACCACTTCTCCCAATCATTACTAATGGAATGTTTTTTAGAACATTCAAATCGGATGCTCCGTTCTCTCAAAAACTCAATTTCTATTTTCTGTACTCTTTGCTCTTTATCTCCGTAACTGTTGGACCTGCCTTTACTAACTAATCAGTACATCTCCCTAGAATTGAATGTTTTTTGAACCATTCAAATCGTGTGCCCGAAATCGTGAACGAAAAAATGCGGACACACAAAACACACACACACATCCATTTTTTCTGAGGTATGCCAAAATGTTCAGAAACCTTCAAAACGTCGAGAAATACAAAAATGTTCAATTTCGATTTTTGGACGATTATAATAACTTACCCTACGGGAAATTAAAAAATTATCGCTTAAGAAAAAAATTTGAAGATAATACATAAATAAAGAGGAGATATGTCCTCGAGATAGCGACCGTCTCGTTCGAAGTAAAAACAGAATATTTGTATGAGGTGAGAGGATCTGGGGGTAGCGCAAATCGGAACACATTCGGCGCGCGAGAAAGTCTTGTTCGATACGCTTAACAACTTCGGTACGAGTGACAAGTATGCATGGCGGCCGCGTGTGGGCATTCACACAGCCGCGTGTCACATTCAGTGAACGTCTGTAATATGAACGCTCAGAGTACGGATGTTGCAAGTCGGCTGGGAGCAACTTTTCGCGGCCAATAGGCGCTGTACCGAAGTGATGAAGTGGATAAAACAACATATATACTATATATATGTTAAAAAAAAAAAAACAATTATAAAAATACCTCATAAAGGAGTCTCCCGTCGCCACTGAAATGTGCCTGACTTCGTCGCACCACCCTCTGTTTCATTGCCCTTATTCTAGAAATGTTAATGTCACAAATCAATTTATATAAAATACTAGTGAAGGAAATAATATTATAAAGACGTGATTATTTTGAAACTATACTACCTTGTCATGCCTATGACTCTGGCTGAAAGCTTGTCCGGCAGTTCGTCGTATGTTTGCGGCGGCAGAGTCTAAACCACTTCTTATCAAACGGAATGCTGGATTTGTTGCAATAACGTTACGTTTAGATTTACTTGAACTGCAATCAAACAATTTATGATTAAACTAGTGGTGCTTGACATTGTATCTTAATAAAAATTGCTGGAACTTCCCGTATCGTGATAAAATACTTGAATATTAAATAATTTCACATAGATTATTATAAATACTGTAACTTTCGTTCTTCGTATTTTATAGACAAAATATAAGAGCTTATAAATTGAACGACAACATTTAAATATGTTTACATGAAAAGTAAATAAACAAAACTAAATCAAGCGGAATTAGAATGAAAGAACCATAGTTAAACAAGTATAAAGTATGGAAAGAACTTATGTTTCTAAAAATTATTTATTTAAAGTTAAATTAAAATTAAAATTCTAATCATTTTTGAAATATAACAAATTTTTGGATTTTTTTGCCTTTCTAAACTAATCGTTTCTCCACAAGTAAATTTTTTTTTTTAAATCATTCAAATCAGAAGTTTTGTTCTCTCAAAAACTCGATTGCATTTTGAATATTTCACATTGGTTGTGATCCCGAAACGTGGACGAAAAATTGTATCCATAATTACGCAGCCACGCACGCACACACACGTAATAAATTCATTTCAATTTTTGGACGATTATAATAACTTACCCTACGGGAAGTTAATTATAACCAAATAGTTATAATCAAAATCTTACCTTTGCTCCTTCTCCTTTGTTGAATTACCCAATATTATTCTCATATGTGTGTCTCGTGCAAAATGATTATCGGTAGTCTTACTATTCACTGGCCCTCCTAAAAGTAGTAAATTTTCATCATACCAATTTTCATTCAGTACACTTACTCTTGTACACTAATTATAAATAGAAAGTTATAATTTTGCTGAACGGAAATAATAAAGACACGGATTCAATTTAGAAATAAATACAGTATTATTAGAATATATAATATAGTATAGTATGATATAATCAGTGTACAACAGCGTCGAATTTCGAAAAGAAACTGAGGGAGCAAAACATGTAAAACATTAACAAACCTTGCCATGAAATAAATAAACAAAATAAAATGCACGTCGTTTATAGGCTGCAATATATTAATACAAAAAGTTGAATAAAACAAATATATACATACATATATAATATATATATACAGAGCGACTCATCATACGTGTTTTTCGAGATACGAGCCGCCGAAAACGCGGCTCGTTTGCTTTTTTATACGAGCAAAATCCGTGATACGAGCCACCAAAGTAGTGCTGCCGCTTGTATCACAAAGCAATACATCGCTCCTAGTGTATTCGAGATCGTGCGAGTGGGAGGCGTGCGAATGAAAGATTAAATATCATTTTTAACAAGGGTTTTCGAATGTGAAGTCACATACAAATTTCAATACAAATATTTAAAGTCAATTATTAATTCATTTCAATACAAATATTTAAAGTCAATTATCTATTTTAATTGTACCATTATTATTGTTCGTCATATACAACAAGTGATTTATGTTCGTAGTAAATGTATGTGGTGTTCGTGCTTTTATGCTTCTTATACCATAAAAAATATTTACGTTTATAATCATGGTTCCAAACAAATAAGCCATATCTTTTGAATTAAAGCGTGAAATCATTGAAAAGTATGACCAAAGACCGCGAGTAGTGGATTTGACGAGAATGATTTTTTAAAGAACTAATACAGTAATTTAGTTATTATTTATTTAGTAATCCTCTTTATTTTTGGAAAATATATATTTGATCTTAGCAATGAATGCTTCATTCCTTTTTTTATTATTATTATTATTATTATTATTATTATTATTATTATTATTATTATTATATATATATATATATATATATATATATATATATATATATAAACAATTTACTTTGTAGAAGACACAGGATTCTTATAAGGTCTTTTTATAACATTTTTCATTAGACAAAGAAACCATTAGATTTTTAACATGTAGTGAGTATAACATTTTGTTATTTTCTAAGTGAGTTGTTACAGAAAATAATGTAAATATGGTAATAAAATCAATGATATTATCAATGTTAATTACCAATATTATTCACAGGCGGATTAACAGGACTGGCTATATCGCTGATAGGTGAATGTGGTGGACTTGCATATAAGGGTGAACCCCCATCACTGTTCAGTGGTGATAACACATGGCTGTTATGTGGATTGCACTGTGCATTTGTATGTCCATACCTTGTAAAACTTTGCAGTTGTTGACTAAATGGTATATTCTGATTGGACTAAAAATAAATATATAATTATTTTTTCACAAATTGGTCAGCAAAAATAAACTAAGCATATAAGAGGCAAAATTATTTCATAAATTATGTGAGAGCAACAATTACTTAAAATTTGTATTAATATATAAATTCATTATTAAATAATGTGAATACCAATTAGCATACATCATATGAAAAAAGTCTTAACAAACTAGTTATTGGAAAAGAATCTTGAATTAAAATAAAAATACAAGAAATAGTGTCAAATATTCACCTGATCATGTTTGCTACTATGTGTAGATCCTGTAAGATTAGATGATAAACTTGAATGATTACCAACAGATTGGCATGGTAAAGTGTCATGTGCAGATGCATGATGGTTATCCACTAGTAAACATGATAAACGATGTGTGCTATCTGGAGATATATTTGGTGATCTTACTAATGCTGTAGAAGCTGTAAAAACATAGCTTCATTAATAAAGGTTTTTTATGTCATTGATTACTGTTGATTGGTTGTAATTTGACTATAAAATTAAATATATTTTCACATCAATTTGTAATTACTTTAAAACATAAAATATTCAAAAACACATCGACGTTTAGAGATAGAAGACTCGACTAGACTAGATTACATTTTTAAAGGCTGTCCTGTTCTATATTTAATTAATTTAATCTAGCTCGAAATATGCTTTTTTAAAAGCAATCGAGAAATCCTTCTGAGTAAATACGTTCACATCTGAAAGATAAACTTAATCTATGTCACAAGTAATCCTTCAGACAACAGAATTTACCCGAACTTTGTTGATGTCCTACGTTTGATTGAATTATTTGTTAAATTATAACAACGGTGCACCAAACGTTTATATATATATATATACTATATAAATTTAAAAAAAATAGATTAATATAAATACTGTAATATTGTTTAATTTTTATAAGAATTATATAAACTGAACTAGCAAACCCGACGAACTCCGTTTCGCCACCAGATGGTTTCGTGAGAAAGATGAAGAAATTTTTTGTTTGTTTTATATTTGAAAAGGAAAAATTTGATCAGTAAGGAATTCCGACTTATTTTTATATATATATAGAAGATAATCTATTTGCAATTATTTAAAACAATTATTGATTATTTTTATTACTCGAATTTTTAATTACGGTGCGTGAAGTTCCAGCAATTTGCATTAGGGCACGATGCCATGCACCACTAATTTTCTTATCTATAAACCTTGCGGAACCCGAGACCTTTCCAACAAATGCAAAATTGTCAAAATCGGTTCGTGCGTTCTGGAGTTATTTCGTCAGGAAGGAAAACCCGACTTATTTTTATAGATATAGAAGATTACAAAGTTAACATTATTTATTTAAAGTATATAAGCAAGCATTAGAACTTTAGCCAGAATTAAAATTAAGATCTGAATTATTTTCGATAAACAAAAAAAATAATGATATTAACTACTATTTTCAAAATAATTACAGACTACAATAAATAATAAATATTTTATATAATAGATATTGAGTATAAAATTTATTATTATTTTGCAAATTATAATTATACATATAATTTCCAATAAAATCATTTCATTTTCATTTGTTTCTGTTGAAACTAATTTCTGTTTTATTAAAAACTGTTTCTGTTCAATATTACACATGTTCAATGTATAATTATACTCATAAAGATTATTAAAAACCTGATACATATTTATCTAATACAACTTGCCTGTAGTTATGCTGTTGTTACTACCACCAGATTTTCTGCTCTTTATATAAGATTCTAATAGTCTAACAACTTCTGTTCTATTAGATTTGTTAGCTAATTTTAATGGTGTTCTACCACAATGATCAGAATGATGTGGATCTGCATTGTATTGTAAGAGCTTTACAACACAATCATAATGACCCTCTTGACTAGCAATACCTTTGAACAATAAATAATTTTTAGATAAAAAACTGATAATTTATTACTAAATAATAAAAATGTTAAAATAAACCATAATTATCAAAGTAACGTATCAAGAAAAACTAAAATCTTCATTTTCTGCACACTTTGCTTCGTATCTCTGAAATGGCTGGACCACCATCTGCCAAAAACTAAAGCATGTCTCCTTATAGAAATCAAATAGTTTTTACAGTCTAAACTTATTGACTAAATCATAACCATGAATATGACAAAATGAAACAGAAAACTATTTTTTTAAAATAAAATTAAGATTAAATTTAGTCATTAATATTGGCTTCAAGTTGATTATTACGTACAATTTAATTAGAAAATATTTAATTATATGATAAATGTGTGATTATAATTTCAAATTAAGTTTAACATTTGTTTAGATAAATATTGAAAACTTAAATCAACAAACTTACCAAGTGCCGTAGCACCTTGATTGCAAGCATGATCTGGTTGTGCTCCCCATTTTAATAACAATTCAACTACTTCACTATGCCCTTGCCAGCATGCTGAATGTAAAGCAGTTCTACAATCGTTATCAAGAGCATCTATAGTAGCACCACCTAGCATCATATATTATTATATTAATAATTAATTCAATTGATTTAATATTATATCATAACAATCATATGAGACATATAGCAAACATTTATATAGCAAACATTTATATCAACTAGAATCATAAAAGAAAATATCAGTAAGATAAACATGAGCTGTTTTTGCACATGTTGAATAGCGTTTAAAATCACTTACCAATAGATGCAAGTAAAGACACCATTTCTGTATGCCCTTGCCAAGCAGAAACGTGCAAAGCTGTTCGACCCTATAAAATATTAGTTGAACATATATATATATATATATATATATATATATATATATATATATATGTATATATATATATATATGCATATTTTAATTAACATAAAATTACTAGTTTTAATATATATATAAAAGCCTGAAATAATATCTATTATTATTGATTACGGCTTGCTTATGAATAAATAAATAATTAAATCAATAAATAAATAAATAAATAAATAAAATATCAATATCACAATTACAATGAAATTGTGCAATATTGAAAAATATTACAGTCATTCACGGGCACTAAAATTTTATTTCAACCATTTACGCATTATCACCCATTTCTTATATTCGCATATATAATGTTCTGCTTTTATTTCATATTTTTAAGAACTCTTCCAATTTTATATTTATATATTTGTGAATATAAATCATTCAGGTTGTAATGAAAATTAAAATAATGTAACATGTTATATATAATATATATAATAATCAAATGTTATAAATAGCAGATGTCTAAAAATATAATTAAATTCAGTATTACATAATATTATTTTTCAGTAGGAAGCCATTGGGCGTACCTAGTAGGGAGCACCTAACAAATTTATTGTATTCAAAACTTTAACTAAAGAAATAATTGGTTATAAAATATATAAAATAATCATAAAAATTGTAACTAAAACAATTACATTAAGTTGCATATACCCAGAATAAATATTCTATAACTATATTATGATTGAAATGAATAACAAATAAGCAAAAATCAAATGATATAATATTTAACTTTACTTAAAAATTTCTGACCTCACAGTCTCTACAATTGGGATCAGCTTGACCATTTTCAAGAAGGTATCTAGCCATTGCTAATTTATTTTCAAGAGCTAAGATATATAAAGTTGATCGTCCATCTGCATCTTTTGTATTGACATCAGCATTGTGTTGAATTAGAAGCTGCAATACATCATAATGACCTTCCAGAGCAGCCAATCTGGCAAATGAAAAAAATGCAATTTACATACAAAGTTCCTCATAATAAGTAGATTAGTTTCATTTACCTTTATAAAACGTGATCAATTTTAAATTTTTTACGCATCTACATAGTTCTTATTTATTTCAAAATGAAATATTTTCATATTTCACTCACAGTCAACCAATTTTAATGTCCAAAGATGACAAAAATATTATGTTTTATAAAATTATTATATTTAATAAAATTATTATATTAAAAAAAAAATTTTCATCATTATATTTGCTATTAATTACTTTTAGCAAAATGATATTTATAAAGGATCTTTGTTTAAGAAATATGAAATATATTAGTTAGTTAATTTTTGCACTAGTTTCATCAAATTTATCGAGTTATTGTATGACGATTTTACTAATATTAGATTGAATAAAGTTTGATTTTCATAGGTTTTGCTATATTTCTTATTTTGTTGGTTTTGCTCAATTTCCAAACTGTGTTATAGCAAACCCAGGCTTTAAAAGCACCGTGTTATGAGAAGTATGGTCTCAATTCTTAAACCGTGTTAGATTGAATTTGTGTTATAGAAGTACTGTGTTTTATGGGGGTTGACTGTAATAATGCATTTTACCTGAGTGCAGTTTTTCCATCATGTGCTTTCTGATCTACAGGTGCCGAATAATGGTCAAGCAATACTTGAACAACTTCAGTATAGCCCTCTTGACTTGCTAAATGCAAACAACTCTTTCCATCATTATCAGCTTCATCAATCTTAGCACCAGATTCAAGTAGGGCTTGAACAACCTCTAAATGACCTAAAGTAATTGATGGAATTGATATTTGAACCTATTTCCAAATGTTTTATAAATATTTTATTTTATAATAAAAAGATACAAGACATTCACCTTCAAAAGCTGCATAATGCAATGGAGTCCATCCAGCGTTATCACGATGGGTTTCATCCAAACCTCGGTCTAAAAGCTGCCTCACAACCTCAACATTACCTATATATTACAATGAAAATATATGTAAAAATATTAACAGAATGTGATTAAGGTGCTATTTAAATTATAAATACCCTGAGCGCATGCGACGCTTAACACAGTACGACCTTCATGATCCATGCAATCAATTCCAGCTCCCCAAAATAATAACAGTTCTACAACCGCCCCATGGCCTGCACTGCATGCACCCCAAAGAGGCACTCGACCAGTATTTTCTGCCAAATCAGGATCAGCTTCTGATTCCAACAACAACTCACATACTTCTCTAAAAAGTAAATTATTGCATAAATTCCCAAATAAAATGAATATGAGTAATTATTTACCTATTCATTTTTTAATTCCATATATAATTGCGCAATCTTTAGATCTTTTGTTGTACAAAAAATTGAATCTTGAATTTGTTAATATTTGTTAGTTGTTCAAAAAAAAAATCCAAAAAAAAACAAAAATACTAATATAATTTTTTTCATTTCGTTTCAGGACTATGAAGTAAAAATAGTAGTAAAGTTTCTCCTACAAGATAATAGAAATTTTGATCAATGACAAAGAAATAAAAGTATAACCTACTTATGCCCTTCAAAAGCAGCAACCAATAATGGTGTCATTCCCTCCTTATCTTGATGATCTGCTTTAGCACCTCTTTCTAGTAGTACACTCACAACTTTTGCATAACCAGCACTGGCAGGTACACACAATGCTGCCACTGATAATGCACTTCGTCCTAAAAACATAATGAATTATGTAAAATAACGTAGCAGCCTACATATAAACATGGGTCTAAAGGAAAGATTTTCATAATAATATTGTGATTTTTGGTACAGAGAATTCTGAGTATATCAATTCAATTTTGAAAATATTAAATACCATCAGAGTCGCTATGGTTGATATTGGCGCCGCAATCCAAGAGCTGTTCAACAATTTCAGAATGACCCATATAAGCTGCTGCAATAAGAGCAGTTCGACCTAAAACAACATTATTGGCAGTTGAAGTAAATCATATAATGATTCACCAATACAATTTTTTATAAACTTTATTTAGCTCACAATAGTTGATTATGAATTTATTTTTTAACTTTAATTATAATTAATTTGAAATTTAGAATAATAAGTGATGTATGCATGTAAATATGCGAGCTAATTCTTTGATATAATAGCTATCTTTTTCGATAAAAAATGCATGTCTTTTTCGACAAAAAAAAAAAACACACACACACACATCCATTTTTTCTAAAGTATGCTAAAATAAAAAATTTCATTTCGATTTTTTTGTGATTACTATAACTTACCCCAAGTATTTGTTATTTCAAACAATATTTAATATTTAGAAAAAAACCTAACCCTACCCACCGGAATTATTGTAATTCCAAATTGCCGTCCCGGTTTTGACATAAAAAATATGGCCACCTTTCTACCAAGGACAATGCAAGAACTACTATTAACAAACTATTATACTATACATATTTTCATACATTCATTTATTCAGTTTATATTAAATATAAACTACCATTTAATAAATTCTAGTTTATAAGTACAAAAGTCTTAAAGTGTTTTAATTTTTTTTGAAACTTCAAGCGCCCCCAAAAAACATTAAATTCTATTTTAAATATATTTTATTACCTTCTTTATCAGTGCGATCTACTGATGCTCCGGCTTTCAATAAAGCGCGAACTATATCTTCATGTCCAGACCACGCGGCTGCTCTCAGAGCACTCCTGCCATCGCTATCAGCTCGATCCACATCACAGCCATGTTCCACCAATAGCTCTACTACCTAAAATAAGAAGTATACTATTACCATACATTTAAACAAAAGGTGAAAAAACTAAATGTATATATATAATATATACATTATATATATATATATATATATATATATACATATATATATATATATATATATATATAATATGTATATATATAACTAAATGTAACAATTATCTAACAGAAAACGGATAAATAATATATATTTTAAATAATTATATGTGTTTCTACTCTTGTACAACTGAGTAAGATTTTGATGAAGTTTAGACCTATATTTAAATAATCTTAATTCTTTAGATTCATACAATTAATAAATGTTAATAATGCTAATCCTCAGAATTTTATTAAGCAAGATACTTAAATCAGCATGAAATTAAAAATGCAATTATTTTGTGACTTCATATATCACTTACAAGCATTTTGATGGATTTTTTTTTGGGTTGATGAAACAAATATACTATTATAATTAAATATAATAATATACTATTATACATATTAATAATAAAAAAATTAAATTAAAGCAAAAAACATTAAGGACTATGTTTGGGCAAAGTGGAAACAAAAATTCACCAAAAATGTTATTAGCAATTTTTTTTAACAATATTCCAAAAGTGTCATCAGTGTATACTCTTTAAGTAAAAATTATCGCAAATCTTATAAACAAAAAAAAAACAATCGTAAAATTTATATGACAAATTCTTACCTCTGTGTGACCTCCCCACGCCGCAGCCCGAAGTGCAGTCCATCCATCACAATCGGCGTGATCAGGTTCCGCACCGGCTTTTAATAACACCTTAAACACATATATTATTATTATAAATTCGAATAATATTTATGAATAATATTAATTCCTCACCTGAACAACATTTGTGTGACCATGACGAGCCGCTAAGTTCAATGGTGTTTGTCCATGTCTATCTTCTAACTCTAAATCTATAGGTTTCTTTGATAACTGCAAATTAAATATAGATAGATAGATACTTTATTTAAATTCAATATTTATAATTTAAGTCAATGCACTTATTATTTTTATCATAATATTATAATAAAACTAAAATAATATCAATGATATTTATGAACAACTCTAGGATTAACCTAATTGAAATTAAAACTTAACTTGGATTAAAAAAAATCGTTTATTGTATAAATATGTTGATCTATAAGATTTTTGACAGTCACTTTGAAACCATTCCTGTTTTTACATTTTCATTCATTGGGAAGCCTGTTGTAGATCCCGACACCTAGCTTGTTCCTTTGCGAGGATTTTAGCTTCAGTTTTGGAGGTACAACAGCACTCCTGTTCCGCGTGTTGTGGCCATCAATCACTCTTCAGTATATGATTTGTTCTGCCTTCATAGACCGCCATCGCCTGCTGGTAGATGAAAAGGCTGCTAACAGTCAGTATTTTATATTTTGTAAATTATTTTATATTTTGTAACGCCCCTCCGATTGCCATTACAGCATTCTGGAGGTATGCACCAAGTGTCCGCAGGCTAATATTCCCTATGAGAACACAGAGTGAAGCATAGCAAAGTAAGCATCTCTGGAGCATTTCTCATAATGTATCTAACTCTTCTGATAGCATATATTGATTTTGAGAGCTTAGTGCATATCGAATCCATGTGCTTTACCCAGGTTAGCAAACTGTCCATAGTGAGACCCAAATATTTAACCTCTCCCCCATGCAGCTTCTTATGTCTCCTACTGGAAGTAAAGTTGATGTGGACTGTTTTTCTATTGTTCAGTCTAATTTTGTTGGCTGAAAACCAATTTTAAACTTGCTTGTGAGCACACAGAATTTTTTCATTCATATTCGCGATCATCCGCAACTGCCAATGCTGTATCATCTGCAAATTGCATTGTGTCGGCAGCTGAAGTGATAAATCATTTTCGAATATGAAAGAATTGGTCCAAGAATACTCCCTTGGGCAACCCCTGTATTTATTCTTGCTATGTCACTTCGTTTATTGTTCCATTCCACAAACTGATACCAGTTACTGAAGTATGATCCTGAAAATCATGTGGAACACAATCAAAAGCTTTGCTAAGATCGCAAAATAGTGTGCCACTGTATTTATGATCTTCTAGTGAATTTGATATAAAGTTCAAAAGGTCTAGAACAGCATCAATTGTATTAATCTTCTTTTTAAATCCAAATTGATTTTTTACAAAATAGTTTTTAGTATCGAAGAAACTTGTAATTCTCAATGCTAACAACATTTCTATAATTTTCGAAAATATCGGCAGTACGGCTACAGGTCTTTAGTTTGCTGCTTATTGACGATTTCCTGATTTATATAATGGTACTACCCTTGCCAGCTTCATCTTCTCTGAAAAGATTTCTGTAGAGTAAATGTTATTCGCTATTGTGCACAATGATCCAGCAATGTACTGTGCGACAGATTTTACCATTTTTGTTTTAATATCAAATGCATCAAATGACGTTTTGTTTTTCAAGCGTTTAATCATTGTATTAATTTCCTCTGGGGTAGATGGATTGACCACTTCACTTACCAGCTAATATCCAAATGTCCGCTTTCCGCAACGGAAACCTTGAAAAAAGCATGCTTCGGGATGTTTTGATGTCATTTTTTCACATTCAATGTTTTGCAGTTTTTTCATTTAAATATTTTTTAGAGTTTCCGTCGATGTTTCCGGTTCCAGGCAAAATACATGCAGGTGGACCTTCCTGACTACTCCCGCGAGTGTAGTGCTTACATTTGTTCCATCAATGGCTCTGTTTTTACGTCTTGGCTATTTCTTTTTCTGGGCCAAAGAAGAAGGATGTCAGACTTATCGGAGAATATGTTTTCAAAATATAGAATACTGAGTGTCACCAGCCTTTACATCTATAAGCAGGGGATTGTGGTCCATGCAGACAGAACAAACCATGTACAGAGGAGTGACGTCCTTGGCCACAACACACAAAACAGGAGTGCTGTTGTACCTCCAAAACTGAAGCTGAAATCCTCACAAAGGAACAAGCTAGGTATCGAGATTTACAACAGGCTTTCCAATAAATGGAAATGTAAAAGAAAGAATGGTTTCAATGCGACTGCCAAAAAACATCTTATAGATCAACCTATTTATTCAATAAATTAATTTTTAATCTAAAGTAATTACTAATTGCCATTAGGTTAATCTTAGAGTTGTTCATAAATATCATTGATATAACTATAGTTTGACTGAGACACCATTCACAGTAGCTGCATCAAGGGCAAAGGATTCACTCATTGAAAAGAAATCGTCCACTAGTTCTTCTGATGGATTCATATATGATACAGACTGTGTATCAGTTATAGAATCCAAAGATATCTAAAAATTAAATAATTTAAAATAAATGTATAAATGTCACTAAAACATAAATGCATTCTTCGAAGGTTATTGATTAAAAATTTATATGTGCAAAGTGTAATAAAATTACTTATATCTAATGGAACTATTAGCACCACACATATACAAAAAAAAAAATATATAAATTTATATGATAATAAATTAAAAATGTAAGTATGTAAATGTTATAATAAGGAAAGAAGAAAAACTGCTATTAGATTCAATTATCAAAAATAATTAATCACTTGCTTTAATCAGTATGATACATACCTACTAGCATATATAATATATATATATATATATATATATATATATATATATATGTGTGTGTGTGTGTGTGTGGTGTGTGCGCATTTAAAATTCTAATTTAACACTTTTATTACAGGAATAAAAATTATCACCTGACTTGATGTATAATCTTGCATTTGGGTCTTGGCTCCCGCTTCTAAAAGCATTCTTAACACTTTATTATCCCTTGGTAAAGAAGGCCTAAAAAATTCTACCAAAAACTCACGAAATTTAGTTTCATTTTGTTTATTAGTTTCAACAATTACATCGAGAATATTATCAATACTCTCTTCTAATCCATTATCTAAAGGTTTTCGAGAAACTCCGTACTTTATGTAATATTTTTCGATCATTTCTCTGGCCTTTTGAGTTATATTAACATTATCCTTTAAAAATAAGTGCTCACACTTATTTGTGTCACACAAACTGTTGGATCCACAGAATAATGATTTTTCTACATCACAACCTGAGTCGATTAGCCACATCAATGTTATAAAATGCCAATCTGTATCAATTTTAGAACCTTCATTCTTACTGTTGTGCTTTTGAGCAAAATATTGTTCAACTTTTGTTAAATGGAAAACATAATTGTGTATTTCACTTGTACATAAGGTTTTAGCTCGGGAAGTGTACTGCATTGCTATCATACAACTCCCTTCTAATGCACTGCATAAATACTTTTGAGTACAGTGCTTGACATCTAGTAACCATTCTGCAAATGACTGATGGAAAAATGTTAAATACTTTCCATCATATTTAACCACTTTTCTTAGCAGATGCAGTCTCTTCATGTAATCATCTCGACCTATGTTACAATTTGTAGTCAGAAGACATTTGTACAGAAAACTCTTTGTAACTTTATTCCTTGCAGCAAGTAATACATTTAATAATGGTTTAACTTTACTAAACTGTTTTTTATTGAATAATCTTTGACACAACCACAAATATAAACCGTTCAAAGTTCCTGGTATTTCTTTAATCTCCCGTAATACTATAAAATTATCACTGACACCATCTAATACTTTTTCTAAATATAAAAAGCAGCCATTGCTTTTAATGTGCAATTGATTCAACATCTCAGCAGTATCACGTGATATGTGCTGCCTCAAATTTAGTTCGGTGTCCAACCTAGCCAAAATGTATTGTTGAATATCTCTAACAATTTGGTGTTTTCGCAGATCATCCAAAGTGATTTTTCGAAACCCTGTAAACATTTTAGTGAGGCTCTTACTTTGCTTTTTAGCTGTGCAAACAAGAAGCAACCACTGTGGAAACAAATGATGATGATTGGCTAAAAGCTCAGTGATAGTTTTTGAGTTATTAACACTACAAGCAGGTTTTTCTTCTTCTTTCGTTAGTGTATTATTTATGTTGGAATTTACTGATGCTTTCTCATCAATAGAATCCACCATAAACAATAAACAATTTTTAGGTGGATCTATTTCCAACAGAGGAAATAGAATCGCCTTCTTAAAACAATCATCAGGATTTTTATCAATATTTTCAACATTTAAACTTTCTTGAATTTCTGGATCAGTTAAAAGCTTTTCAAGAAAGGCATTTGCTATATAATTTCTTGAATTCTGTGGAGCTGATGGTAAAGGAGGTGGCATGCTTTCTGTCATTTGCAATATATTCTCAAAGGTTTGTGCTTGAGGTTTAAGACTACGATCTACATCAATTTTATTCAACGACTCAAACCCGGTGCTAGTGCTATCGTTATCACAGTTTTTGGATGATGTTTTATTTATAGTTTGCTCCGAAGAATTATTACCACTATCTTTATTTTCATCTTTAATAACCTTAACATCTGAATCCTGTTCACTTTTCACACTAGTGTGTTCTATTACAGAATCATCTAAAAGCTCATTTTCGGTTTGCTCAATGATACAAGCATCTATATTATCAATATTTGCAATACCTTCGCCACCTAAAGATATCTCCTCATTACATTGACAAGCGTTCTGTTTGTGTTCTACTTTTATTAAGCTTAATGAATAATTAGGATCGCTCATATTAGGGTATCTAAATGCAGCTACTGGTATTTTTGATGGAGAACCTTTAAGTTTCTCATTAAGTAAATCCTTTGCATTGTCTTGAGAAGATGCAGATTTAGTTTTTTTATCAGCTGTAATTTTGCTTGAAGAAGGAGGATGCGTAAAATAATTGTTATCACCAATTCTATGCTTTTCATTTTCCTGATATTCAATTGGATCTGACTGTTGTCGAATTACTCTATCTTGTTTAGTAAAGTTATTAACATCAAATTTTTCTATCCTTTCAACATCACAACCTATATCCATCTCACATTCAATTTTATGTGAACAATTTTTAATATTACTTAAAACACATTCAGATTTTTTATCACAGAATGCTTTGATTCTTTCATCAAGTATTATCTCAGACAGAAGATCACCATCTCTAGCAGTTTCTTCCTCAAAACTTAAATCAATTAAGTTCTGACATAAATCCACCTCCAAGCCATTACTTAAGGATTTATTGCCTGTATTGTCACTCAAATTTTCTTTGGCAAGTTCCGTAATCTGAAATGATTTATTATTATTGCTAGAACATAATAGTGATTCAGGAAGAATTTTTTCAGGAGATTTTGGTATTGTATCTGTCGCATTAGATATAGTGGTTTGACCAGTTTGCAAGTATGTGGAATGAGAAATCAGTTGCATTACAACTGATCTTATAAAATCTGCCATGGACGGTGTATCAGATGTTTGAGGCTGAAAATAGAAAATACAAATATAGTCAAAGTCACGATTTTAAAATTTTGTAAGAAGTTCAGAATATTTTAATGAATGAAAATAAAAACACAATATTTTTTGACCAATCAATATGATAATTTTTCATCCAGCATCAAAAGACAAAAAACAAAAATGTCTGTACCTGGACATAATATACTGCCAACAGTTTTCTATTCAAGGTCCCAAGTGTTCCTTTACTGACATTAGATGTAGGATTTTGTCCAGCAAATTTCTCTGCACAAAGTAGTTTTTCCACTGCCAGACCCTCCTGTAGTAAAAGGTAAGCATTACATTACACAATGTAAATACACCTATCCCCCGTTTTACACGGTACTCCGATAACTTAACACGTTTCTAATCTTACACAGTTTTCTAAAATAATCTTTTTCAACGAAATGTATTAATTTTGCATTTACACGAAATTATAAACACTGAACTATAATTTGCTTATATAACAACAAGCAAACCCGACGAACTCCGTTTCGCCACCAGATGGTTTCGTGAGAAAGATGAAGAAATTTTTTGTTTGTTTTATATTTGAAAAGAAAAAATTTGATTTTATTATACAACAGTAATGAATTTATTTTGATTACAAAAATGAAGTGTTTTTTAGTTGAACTTCTCTAAGTAAATGAAAGTGAATCCGCAAATTATCCGTTTCATTGAAATGCTCTTTGGCAAACCACATTTTTTGTTTTTTGGTCTGACGTTAACAAAACAAAGCGGATGGTTTTCCAACTCGTGAACAGGCAAAATCTAACTGCCCATGTGAAAAACAATGATTTTCTAAATAATCTATTTGAAATTTATCCCGCAAACACTAAGCGATTGGCCTTGCGACTTGTTATTGCGAACGCAAGGCGAACTGAAAATTGCAATCGTTTGAAGTCAATCATTGGTATGTCACCAAATCGCCAGCAATTTTTGATTGAATGGTGAAATTCAGTGCGTGTACATCATTATACTTTGCGGCAAGAATTGCTCGTTGATTTGAAATTATTTAAAACAATTGTTTATTTTCATTACTCGAATTTTTAATTACGGTGCGTGAAGTTCCAGCAATTTGCATTAGGGCACGATGCCATGCACAACTAATTTTCTTAGCTCTAAACCTTGCGGAGCCCGAGACCTTTCCAACGAATGCAAAATTGTCGAAATCGGTTCGTGCGTTCTAGAGTTATTTCGTCAGGAAGGAAACCCCAACTTATTTTTATATATATAGAAGATAACATTTTAATTGTTCTACTACAAAATGTGGGTTACAGTTATGAAATTTTAGTAGTCTATGTCTATGATGGAAATATGTAAATGAGATGGGAACTCAATGTTTTATGATCCAAACTCTGCTTTTAATTAGTGTTTATATATAATTGATAGCCTAAATTTATTCAAGATGACCAAATAACAGAACCATTTTTTACAAAATCTTTAATTTATAAAAAAAATTATAGTTCGACAATGGCAAAAGATAAAAATAAAAAAAGCAAAGAAAGGGTTATATCTGTAAAACACCAGTTTCATTTTTTATCTATAAAGAAAATGCAATATTGAAAATATTTTTTTTTTATATTTGAAATAAAATTTCTTATAATTTATTAAATATGTATGATATTGAATATATTATTTTTCGTTCAATGTTCAATTTGTTATTCATCATATTAAAAACTGAAAAAGGACTTTTTCATAGCGATTTTCGCTTAGCACGGTTTTTTCATATAAAAGTGAATTTTTCAAGTTAAACGTTTTTTTCTAGAACGTATCTACCGTGTAAAACGGGGAATAGGTGTAACAATTTAAGAAGATTGCCAGCCAAAATTCAGATATTATACATGAGAATTATATTTCTGGATCTAGGCAAATTTTCACTGAAAAAACATGGCAAACAATTCAATGGCAAGTAATAGAGTAATAATGCAATAATCTAATGTCATCTTCATTTGCCAATAGGAGATTAATTTAAGATAAAATAAGAAAACTTATGGATTTATATTATGTGCATAGCATTTTAACCATTGACTGTTATATTTTAAACATTGACTATTATATTGATCATTTTGGTAGAGAAAAAATTGATGCGTGCCAGTGCTAATACCAATGAAAGATTGGAAATATAGACCAAATCTAAACTTCATTTATCACTTTATTTAGAATACTAGATAAACCAAAAATGACTTGATCAAATCAAGTTTATTTATGAATTTGTTAATAACTAATTAACTTTTATTCAAATCGTGCGCAATAACGAGAATAGCAGATTTATCAAACTCTATTTATTTATGTAGATCATAATGTCAGCGTAATAATTTTGAGATGGTTAAATTTATTTTTAACTTCCCGTAGGGCAAGTTATAGTAATCGCAAAAAAATCTAAAATGAAAATTTGTATATATCTTTACGCTTCAAAGGTTTCTGAGTATTTTGGCATACCTTAGAAAAAATGGATGTATTGTGTGTATGTATGTGTGTGTGTGCGGATACAAATTTTCGTCGACGATTTCGGGAACACCGATCAACCGATTTGAATAATTCAAAAAAACATTCGATTCGTATTGATAAGGAGACGTGCTGATTAGTTTTTGGCGAAGGTTGGCCTAGCCTTTTAATAATTCAAAAAACATTTTACTCAAATCAAATCAAATTTTCATGAAGGCAGGTCTAATAAAAAAAAAGTAAAAAAAAAAATGCCATTTGGCAGTCAAAAATGATCATTAGACATATGCACATCAAATTATCAGATATTTTATAGAGATTTTAATATTAAGTATAAATTTCGTTTACATTCCTATAGGTTCCGTGCCAATGTTCATCCGTTAGACGACGACGCGGCGATTACGCGCTTTGACATTTCGTCTCTATGCAGTTAAAGCAGTACGATTGCTTTGAAAAAAAGTTCAGAATTTCGAAAATATGTCAAAATAAAGAAAACATTTTTTTCAATAAATTTTTTTTTTCAAAAAAAAGTATTTTTTTCAAAAATGTTAATCGTTTTTAAAAAAATAATAATTCTTGGTACGGAAAGTTCCAGCAATTTGCCTTAAGGCACGATGCCATGCGCCCCACTAGTTATTTATTAAAGTTTTGCAAAATATACCTAAAACTAGTGTCAGTCAAAAAATGATCATTAGACATATGCACATCAAATATCAGATATTTTATAGAGATTTTAATATTAAGTATAAATTTCGTTTACATTCCTATAGGTTCCGTGCCAATGTTCATCCGTTAGACGACGACGCGGCGATTACGCGCTTGACATTTCGTCTCTATGCAGTTAAAGCAGTACGATTGCTTTGAAAAAAAGTTCAGAATTTCGAAAATATGTCAAAATAAAGAAAACATTTTTTTCAATAAATTTTTTTTTTCAAAAAAAAGTATTTTTTTCAAAAATGTTAATCGTTTTTAAAAAAATAATAATTCTTGGTACGGAAAGTTCCAGCAATTTGCCTTAAGGCACGATGCCATGCGCCCCACTAGTTATTTATTAAAGTTTTGCAAAATATACCTAAAACTAGTGTTCCACAAGTTCTAGAAGTAGGTCTCTGCTCCAAACATTGTGCTAATTTTCTAAAGGCCCAGTCCCTGCAATAAAATCTCTTTGGTTGTTCTACAACTAGCTCAATTTGCTTTGGAGAGGTTTTGCTCATTGATAATTTACTAGAGCCAACCACCATTCACAGCTTTACTACTATTAGTAGCATGATGTTTTGATTTGGAATTCTTCGTTCCCTTTACTTCGACTTCTGGTGATAAACCAGTTTTATCACGTTTCGGCGATTTCATTTGCATCATTACTAATAATTTTGCGCTCGCATCTATCGATTCTTGAACCTGTTTTTTCGATAACGTGTCAATAGTAGATTTATTGAAAAATTGTTCATCATATATTGCTCTGTGCTCTACTTTTGATAAATCCAAGTCGTTTGGAAGTCTTCTTTCAGAATTAGCAGAGGTTTTGTTAGAATCGCATTTCGAATGTTTTGTCTTTCTATGTGATGATTTATTATGATCAACTGGTGTCAGTTCATCAAAATTATGTGGAACCAAGTTAATCAAACGTTGTTCTTGAATTTGCTGAATGCCAATTAAACCTAAAATAACATCATCAAAATAAAATAAATAATCACTCGATTGAACATTTATATTTCTCAATAAATTTATTAATATTATACTTTAATTATCAGCAGAGCGATAATTTTTGCAATATGAAAATGTTTAATTTCTCATGATGCATGAAATTGAAACATTGCATATTTCATTTCGATTTCATTTATATTTGAAGTTATGTAAAGTCACACCATAAACCATTAATAAACCGAATTTGATAGTAAATCATTAAAAATTAGTGCTCCACTGGCATTTTGTGATTATCAAACAAAATTTAAGTTGACATGGAAGTCTCGACAAATGAATTAAATCAATCATTCAAAGTTATCTCATCAATTATAGTAAAGATCTATATTAGTTAAACATGTAGTACTAACCTGCCGTAGAGTTATGTTCCTTACTCTTTAAAAATGCTTTTATGCCGGAAGATGAGTTGTATTCATTACGGGGTGAATGTAATTTTGATACAGGTGGCCGCCTTGATTCAAAATTTAAGAAGCCATAATCGTCCGAATTTTGATCATCGTTTGAACGTTTGAAAGGATCATTAGCGTAAACCGGCTGATGGTTAATCGTATCTTGATGGTGATGATGATTTTTGGTTGCAGGGTCCTTTTCCTGAAATAAATATAGGTTGAAAAAATAATACTAAATCTTGAAATAGAAATATTAAAATATTAATCGTTTTATTTAATTAAATACAAACGTATTATATGTTTGTATTTAATTAGAGAGAATTTTAAGAATTTTAAATTAAAGTTTTTATTTATGTGTGTGATTTTTTTAATTCGCATGTTTTATCCACTAAAAAGTCAAACTAGGATTTGAAAAAAATTTAAATCTATTAAAATTCTTTTAAGGAGGTATTCAAGTGCAAAAGCATAAATTGTACGTCATTTTTAAATCATCGTAAACACGGCAATCAATTTTTATACTATCATATTTTTTATAACTTCTTTATCAACGTTATAATACTACAGAAAAAAATAAAACTCGAGAAATCGTGGGCATTGTATTCAAAAATACAATTCTAATGAAAAAAAAAGCGCGTTTAAAGTTTTGAAACAGTAGAGGATTATCATGGTCAAATAGCTGTATCTCCGAAAATGATTTAGATTTTTAAAAATTCTTGCGTACACATATTCTTCAATAGTTTAACTTAGCAAATATAAAAAACAAATTTTTTTTGAGGTTCTACACTAGAATACCCCGTTAAACAAAACTTAGTTTTTCTTTTTAATAACTGTATAGATACCTGTTTTATTTGGAATATACATATTATATATATATATATATATATATATATATATTTATATTATTATTTTTGTATTACTATTTTTATTTTATTTTATTTTAACTTTGTTTAATTTTATATGCAATTTATTGCATTTTTTGTATTATTAACTTCCCATAAGGTAGTTATAGTAATGAGCCGAAAATCGAAAATGAAAATTTATGTATTTCTCGACGTTTTGAAGGTTTCTGAACATTTTGACATACCTCAGAAAAAATGGATGTGTGTGTGTTTTGTATGTCCGCATTTTTTCGTCCTCGTTTTCCGGCGCACGGAGGATCAACCGATTTGAATGGTTCAAAAAACATTCGATTCCTATTGATAGGGAGATGTGCTGAATAGTTTTTGGCAAAAGCAAATTTTTGATTTGAATGATCTAAAAAACATTCAATTTGTAATGATTGGGAGAAGAGGTGATTAGTTTTTGGCAAAGGCAGTTCCAGCTATTTCAAAGATACAGAGCTAAATGGGCAGTTTTTGAGAGAACTAAGCGTCTGATTTGAATGATTCAAAAAACTTTCTGCTTGTTTCAACAAAATAATTGCTTTTGGATTTTTTTTTGTATATTGAAAATAATTCAAATTTTATTTTAATTCTGACTAAAGTTTTAATATACTTTAAACAAATAACTTCAACTTTGCAATTCAGTTTATATAATTCTTATAAATATTAGACAATGTTACAGTATTTATAATAATCTATTTAAAAATATTTAATAGTCCTCGAACATTTTGTTACGGTACGGGAAGTTCCAGCAATTTGCCTTAAGGCACGATACCATGCACCCCACTAGTTTCTTTTTTGCACCTATCAATTTTGTAAATAATACACTAAAGTCTTGATTAATAAAAATAAATTATAACAAAAAAACTTTTCTTAAAATAATTTCAAACTTAAACGAAAATAGTTCAACATTTTATAAATAATAATGATTATTTTCTATTGAAATGTTTACAAGCGAAACGCCTTGCTGATCCTTTTTTGAGTGTTGAAAGGGTGAAATTTTGTAAAAGGTATACATATTCAAAGTAGTTTTAACATTTTTAATAATAATGCTATTAAAATAAAAATAGTTCAAATATTTAAAATTGTATATTTACCATCATATATGATTATCTAAAAATGTTTCAGATAAAAAATATCTATGGCTATAATAAATTATGTTAAACTTACTTGATTATGATGCGACCTAATAGCAAGCGCTGGTGATTGATTCAACAAAAGTTGATCATTCTTTTCTGAATGATGGTGATGCTTTATTCGGCTATTACTGGCACGAAACTTACTCCTACTGAAATCACCGTAATTAGCGCGCTCATATCCATAGTCTAAGCGCACACCAGAGTCATCCTGAGTACGCCTGGACGCCGATCTAAGGCACAAATAAATTATTTATTAAAGCGTATCTAAAATAAAATTTTAGTTGAAATGAAATATTTTATGAAGCACGTGAATTGTTGATATTGATAAAGTTACTTACGCAGCATATAAGTGCATAAATAGTAATGTAAGGTGATTATATAACAAAACATGTAATATAGAAATTTGAAAAAAAAATTTTTCCTGTAAGTACCTATCTTTAAGTCCAATATCTTTACATTTATATTATTTTTTAAAATCAATTATAAAAATAACTTTCTAGTTGAATGACAGTCTCGATGCAGATCGGAACGTATGGATAAATAAATCTTATCACAATTGCTTTAGTTTTTTTTTGCTTGGTGTTGCTGCCAAAATCAACGTAACTCATCAATTATATATATATATATAAATATATATATATATATATATATATATATATAATTATGCTTAAATAAAAATCACCGAATGTTGTATATATATACACATTCTTATATCACCTATAAGATAAATCAGCAGCGTTTGATTCTGCGCAGTCTCCATATTTCTCTGGATGGCGCTGTTGGTTGCGGTTTGAAGCAGATTTACTGCCTGCACATCGGTTATTAGCCTGGTGTTGTTTTGGTAAAGGTTTGCTATAAATCGGTTCATTGCTTGACATTTTCACTTCAAACTACACGAATAAACTCTTGGTTTATCTATTTTTGCAATTCCGTTTTAAGCGGACTTAAAATATCTTTAAAAAGAGATAAGTCATCATGCATACCGCGTATGTACACGGAACTTAATATCAGAGTATTTTAGCTTCTATTGTTCATGTTTCGCTTTTTACTCGATAGTTGGCGTAGATAGTTTTTATATGGGTCCCTTTTGTTTTTCATTGCTTACAACTCTTGAAATCATGGCAGATATAACCTGAAATTTAAATAAAATTAATTTACAATGAATCACAATTATTAGCAAGTTTTTTTTCCTGAGTCATTCCTTGAGCCAAAATGTTAAGGGAAGCTTTGAAACGTAAAGTGATGCAAACAAATTATTTACCAATATTATAACTTACCCTACGAGAAGTTAAAAAATTTTGCATATTAAGTTAAACAGCAAGAAACGATTTTAAATATAATTCTAACGAGGTAACCCTCAGGTTTACTCGTCTGGGATTTTGATGAAACTTCGCATGGTGATAGAGTATATGTAACAAATTAATAATTGTAATTATTTATTATAATAATTAACCAGATATATGTAAAAATAAAATAAAAAAAATATTTAACTCTATCAGGGTTCGAACTCGCGCATATCAGCCTTCGACTTCTTTAAAAAGCACACGACCGACAACGCTATGCGCGGAGATATAGTGCGTAGCGCATTTTAATTAATTTTTATAATTAAACCACTTCTCATAGGCCTATAATATTTTACAAGGTTCGATTCCATGAACCACTAGTTTTTATTCTTAAAGAACCATTTACTTCTTTTGATAGTATGATAAATGGCATCATTCCGAAGTGTACGGAGGGCGCACGCATATAACAACTGTCTGTAATAGCTCATCGGTCATAGCCAATGCTGAACTGTCTTATTAATAACGATAACTTAATTCATATCTGACGAGCAGATGAGCACTACGCGATTGTACAATTTATCGTAAATCATTCATTCCAATCGCAAAGTTGATATTTATAACTTTTTGCAACATTATGGATTATGGAAGTGTTTTTAAAAAATATTTATTATCATCTGCAATGCATCAAGTTATACTTACAACTAATTCGCAATCAAAATTAAATTACACAAACAAATGCAAGATTTCTATCATCAGCTCCTGTATTTAATTTAATGTAATACATAAAACATTCAATTTATCCTGTTAGACTCTAACTGAAAAACTTTAAATTCAAATTTACATACTTCATTATAAATTTTGTTTTTATTTGCTGCTTATTTATTTACGCTTCAAATGATTTTGGAATGCTTTAAAAATTTATTTATTTCAAAAATTATAATTTTGAACGA